ACGAACGTGGAATTAGTTATTACAGTGTTGCCAATTATTTTACACTTTGATACGATTTAGATTACAAACTTCAAAAATATATATATTAACGGTTTATTATGGACAATCAACGCGTAAAATAACGGTCGGAAAAAATATTTAACGTTGATTTAAACATTTTTCTAAAAGTAAGTACCATTAATTAAATATAATTATCACTATATGTGTTATTTATTCATTTAAAAATAATTTTTAAAGTTTTCTATAAATGCATGTAGTGGATTCATGTTGTTTTTTTTTGCAATTGAAAAATCAATAATTCGATTCGACGACATGTTTCTTTTTTTTTTCGACAATTCAAATTTTGTATAACAATACAAAATAAAAGGCGATGAATAATTTAGATTACAAAAAAAAAACGAATCTTAATAAAATTACTTCGTGTTTTCTGTGGAAATTTCAAATAATTTTCCATTTTTAAATTAATTGACCAAACAAATAATAATAATAATAATAATAATAATCGAAAAATTTTTTTTTTCTATAAAATAATTAGGTTAGATAATAATAATTTAAAATTATTGAAAAAAAGAAAATTCATTATTATTATTATTATTAAAACAAAATGTCGTTATTGAAATTTTCTTTCCAAGAATAAAAAAAAAAAATACCAAGGACTAAAGTAAATAATATTTCACCGTCGTCGTTATTATTATTATTATTTCATTTATTATTTATTACTAAATACTAAATTGTGGTTTAAAATAATAATAATAATAATTATATTTAAAAAAATGAATTGTTTTGTTCTCGATATCGTTTCACCGTTCATTATTATTATTTTTAGGTTTTTTAACATTTTGTCATTTTATGTTTAAAAAAAAAAATGGAAAAAAATTTTGAAAATCACGTTTATTCGATAAATTTTAACGCGTTGAGAAAACTCGGTTTGTGGAATTGGGAAACGAAAAATAATTATAAAAAAAAATTATTTTTATTTTATCGTTGTTTTGCTTTTTTATTCAGCGTAACGGCTTTAATGGCCGCCATTATACAATTATACATATCGAGACACGATTTTCGTAAAGTTTCATTTAATCTTTGCACTACTTTACTCTCTTCCGGTATATTATTAAAAAATTTTTATTTGGGATTACGAAGCGTGGAAATAGACGGATTGAGACACGATTTATACGAGGACGAAATGAAACAAAACGATTACGAAGAAATTAAAATAATAAAAAATTATCAAATTAAATTTATAATTTTTAGAAAATTTTTTTACACATCAGCATTTGGTTTTTTATCAATTTGGCTCATCGTATCATTATTAACTTTAAAATGGGGACCGAGAGAACTTCCATTTTCAATTTGGCTTCCTCTCAACATAGAAAATAATAAGGAATTTTTTATTGCTTTTATCGTGCATGCGATAAGAGGATCATACGTCGTGGCAGACGCCATAAATTCCGAATTGAGCATGTTTGGATTATTGTTACAAATAAAAACGCAATATAAAATATTAGTTAATAAATTATATAAATTAAGTCGAGATTATTCGAAATTTTGGATCCGTGAAAAAATAAATAAATATAAAAGGATATTAATTGAAAACGAATATAGGAGCGAGTTGAAAATATGCATCAAAAGACAATTGGAATTGGACGAGTGAGTTTTTTTTTTTTTTTTTTTTTTTTTATTTTAAAAAAATTTTTTTGAAATTTTTAACCGTTTTTTTTTTTTTTATTATTTTTTAGTTACCTTCGTAAATTGGAAATTTTTTATCACAAACCCATGCTTTTACAATTAGGAATTTGTTTATCATTGGCTGTTGTGAGCGGAGTAAAAGTTTTGGGCGTAAAAAAATTTTTTTTTTAAATTTTATTTTCTGGATTTTATTTAAAAAAAAATTAATTCAGTTTTGTTTTGTTTCAGTCGAGTTTTAATTTAAAATGGTTTTACATGATCGGATACACACTAATGGTCACATTTGATCTTTTTGTTCTTTGTTTCATGGTCGATTTTTTATTCGAAGAGGTAATAATCATCGAATTTTCAATTCCAAATTTATTTTTTTTATTATAATAATTTATACTTTGATTTTTAATAAGAGAAAAAAATTAGCTCATGCTTTTTACGACGTTCATTGGTACGAAATGGAATGTTACACGCAAAAAGATCTTATTATAATAATTAAAAATGCAAGAATTGAAAAATCATTAACCGCTTGGAAAATATTTACGTTGGATTTGAAAACTTTTTTAGGAGTAAACATTATTTATTTTCTATTTTTTTTTTTTTTTTCATTTTTTCGTTATTTTCAACAAATGATTAATTATTTCCCTTTTCAGGTATTAAAAGCTTTGGGAAGTTGGTTGGCTTTATTCTGGCAAATAATGAGAGAAAAAAATAACAATTAGATACATAAAACATTTTATTTATTTTAACTTTTTAATTTTAAGATTATCTTAGTCATCTTACCCGAATCGTTTTAAATTTTAAAAAATTTAAATTAATGTTTTCTCGCCGTTTGATATGCAAAAGCTACTAAATCGTATGATGCTTTCAAAAGCTAAAAAAAAAAAAAAAAAAAAAATTATTTAAGGTATAAACAAAACAGGTTCGCATATAATTTTCTGTACTAAAATCAAGTTTAAAAATTTGTTTTTTTTTGCTTTTTCAGAAGAAGATAAAACTCACTTTGACAAAACCTTCCAAATTAACAAGAAAAATATTTGCCGCTCTTATTTTAGGTGCTCTATAACTTTTCATAATAAATATCAGGAGATTTTTTCTTATTTTACGATTTACCAAATGCCATCTTATATTATAGGATGCAATACCGACTTCAAAACTCTGTAAAAATGTTTCCAAATTCGAATCAAAATGTAAAAACTTAATTAATATTTTAATTTTTTTTTATAATATATATATATATATATATATATATAATTACTTTTGATTCGAGCGTGCTTGCCGAAATACAAAAAAGAAACGAATCCACCGTTGCAATTGCCAAATAAAATAATTTTTGTAATATTTGTATGAATGAAACTTCTTTCAACTATAAGGAATAACGGATTAGCGTAAGTAATGACAATATTTAATTATAATTATTATTATTTTTAGTCAATGGTAAAACTTACGATCAAACAATCCATAACAACTGATCCAACCGTTCCCATAAATTCCAAAAAGTGAAACAGGGTCGGTATTTTATAAACGTTAATTAATATGTTTATTTCACTGCCAAATCAACACAATTAATTAATTAATTTTATAGGTAATAATTAATAATAAAATATAAAATACTTACTGGAGTATTCTCGTATGAAGTTTAATATTTTCTTTTAAAATTTCATCAACTTTGGCATTGTAATTATCTAATTTTTCTTTTCCAAAGAGAAACGACGACGTTCGATGAGAATTCGTCATGAAAAAATCATCATCGAGACTTTTGAAATTTTTTATTATTATATTATAGTGTGCCAATATTCTGAGTACGAAACCGCAAAACATGCCATCAAGGGATAATATGTTAATAACGACGCTTATAACGGCTAAAAATTGATAGACGTAAACGCTGACGTAAACGGCATCGGACCATTCTTCCCCAGGGAGTCTATACGGCAAAATAACTTTATTATCATTAATTGTAGAATCAAAATATGGATGTAATACCATTATAATAACGCATAATCCGGCACAAACGTACAAAACTTTCATTATAAGGGAAAGTTGTTTATTTGATTTTTCCAATAAATTTTTTTCAATCTCATCCGTTCTAGAATTTTTATATTCTATTATATTTTCTTTTAATTCATTAACCAAATCGAATTTATAAAATAAAATGAATGTTTTTAATATCGTCGATCCGCCGATGGATATGAAACAAATATCGTTTGTTAATTTGATCGTGTCGCGTCTGACGAAATACACGTCGATGACTACGTTAATCAAAAGAGATGTTAACGAAAAATACGATAAAAAACTAAATAATGAAAATAGGATTTGTTCGAACCGATTTTTAGTTTTTAACGGCCAAAATCCGCTGAATGTGTACATGCGAAAATTAAATTCGAATGCTTCGCATTTAAAATAATCCAAATTGAAAAAACTCATTTTTTAATACTTTTAAATAAAAGAATGATTTTAAAAAAAATTTCTAACACTTCGTAACACATTTAACAAAATCGATTCATTGAATTAACTATTAACGGTTTAATTATTTACACTGTTCAAACAATAAGTTTTGTATTTATTTATGTATTCCGTGGCACAAAAAAACTTTTTTTTTTAAAAAAATAAAACATTTTGAAAATTTTTTTTGTCTAATTTATTTAACTTTAATGTATAATTAACCCTAAATCTCAGTAAAACATAATTCAAATTTTTTTTTAAAAAAAAAGGAAGTGATTCCATTTCCGTTAACGAATATTTTTTTTGAATTTAAAATTTTTTTGGCAAAAAAAAAAAAAAATTTTCTCTTTTAATAAATTTAATGTAGATATTTGATTTAAATGTAATTTTTTTTTGAATAAATAAATTATATCATTGAAAATAATTTCTACTTTTTATTTATTAACTTCAGTTTTTTTTTTTTTTTTTCAGGTTCATAAAATGGTTGACATATAGCAGGGAATTTTCTCTAAACGTTGTACTTGGCGGAGTTTTAATTTAATTTTTATTCGAATATGTCCGAAAATGTTTTTATTCGATTAGGAGCTTTGAGAATCAATCCAATTATTGATAATAATAATGATACATCAAATATATATACTCCTGGTGAAACGATAACATGTCAAACAGGATTTATGCGGTAATTTTTATATTTTTAACCTAACTTGGTTAAAATAATATCATTTAAATTTTAATTATTATTTTTTATATTGTTCGTTCTATATTGTTTTACTTTACATAATATTTAAGTGGTCACGGAACTTATGTAGATGATGATAACAACGCATTAAAAGCTTCTGTGGCTGGTAGTGTAGAACAAGTTAATAAACTTATATCTATGCGTCCTCTCAAATCAAGATATTTTGGAGAAATAGGAGACGTTATTGTAGGAAGAATTACTGAAGTCCAACAGAAGCGATGGAAAGTTGATACAAATTCTAGGTTAGATTCCATTCTTTCCCTCTCCTCCGTTAATTTACCAGGAGGAGAGTTAAGAAGAAGATCTGTGGAAGATGAACAAATGATGAGAAAATATTTACAAGTATTTATATATATTATATTATTATTATCAATTTTTATTTTATATAAAATTTTAAAAAAAAATTTTTTTTTAATATTCAGGAAGGAGATTTAATTTCTGCTGAAATACAAAATATTTTATCGGATGGAACTCTTCAGTTGTACACGAGAAGTTTAAAATATGGTAAATTATCACAGGGTATCTTGCTCAAAGTTTTTCCTTCATTGGTTAGAAGAAGTAAAACACATTTTCATAGTTTACCATGCGGTGCGAATATTATATTAGGTGAGAATAAAATATTTGTTTCGGTATTACATTTCGCTTTTTTTAAAAAAATTTCAATAACTCTTTAAAATTTTTTTTTTTTTGAAAGGCAATAATGGATTTATATGGATTACACCGGCTGCCTTGGAAGACAAAAAAGGAGGTTTCACTCAAGATTTAAAATATAAAGTTTCCAAAACTGATAGAATAGTTTTAAGTAGATTAAGAAATTGTATTCTTGCTCTTGCTAATTCGAAAATGCCTTTGTACGATACAAGCGTCATGTATGCTTATGAAGAATCACAAAAATACACTGTAAGTTTTTTTACATATTAAAATTCAATTAAATTAATTTAAAAATTTTGTAATTTTAAATTTATATATTGAATTGAAATTTTTTTTTTTTTATTTCAGGTATCGGAATTATTAGCACCTGAACCAATGTTAGATGTTGCAGTACTTACAACTTTAAGGCTTCAAATGATCGAGGATGAATAAAAATTATTATTAAGGTAAGTTTTATAAATTTATTTTAAAAAGACCTAAATTTGTTTTATTACAATAATTATAATTTTAATGTCCAATTTAAACAATAATAATAATAATAATAATAATAATAATAATATTTAAAAAAAAAAAAACAAATATAAACCGATGCAGACATTTTTATATTTATCGATAGTAGTAAAAAATAATAATAATAATAATAATACATTTTGAAAAAAGAGTTTCTCAATAAATTATTCATCTTTTATAAGTTTTTTTTTTTTTTTTTCGGTTAAAACTTGTGTAAAGTTTCGATAAATGAATTATTAATTCATTCTTTTCTTAGTTTTATTATTTTATTTTTAAAAAAAAAATTTGCGGAATGTAAATAATAACTAAAATCAATAATACAAAAAGAATGAAGCAATCGAAAACAAACAAACAAACAACCAAAAATGGAGGGGGGGGGTACTTACATCAATCAGATCCTGGTAAAATTTGTAAACATGAATTAAGAATACTGTAGGCAAAACCAATGACAGTACCTGTCAATATGCATTCAGGTATCAAAGCTTTAAATAAATCACCTAAATTCCTTGAATCATTTGTAACGGATTTAACAACGGCTAAAACAATTCCAACAAGAAGTCCTATCAAAAGACCGTTAAGAGATAAATTTACAATATCATCCGTACAATTTTTACCACCCATTATTTATTTATTTATTTTTTAATTACTTTAAATTTAAAAAAATTGAAATTTGTCAACAAAAAAAAAAAAAAAAAAAAAACAATTACCGGGAAAATATTGACAGTTTTTTTTATTTCCGAAAAATCATAAATAATAATAATAATAATAATAATAATTTTTTTTTTTTAATTCGAATAATTTCGAACACTCGAATTCGTATCGTAAACAAAAATTGCAGGCTCAATTATAATTATGGAGAGAAAAATATTATTATTATTATGTTCACTCTTAAACATTATTATTATTATTATTATTATTATTATTATTATATGAAAACTGTTTTAATTTGATTTATAAACAATTAAATTCGATAATTTCATTTAAAATTTTTTTAATTTTATTAATTCCGAGTAAAATTTAAGTTTTAGTAAAAATGGTTGTTTTCGAATGTTTTTTAAATTTCTAAAATTATTAATTTTTTTTTTTAAAAAAAATTTTAGTAAATCTTTCGATATAAGGTGACAAACATTTTCAGAATGATTAATAATAATAATAATAATAATGGAAATTTATTAAATATTTTAATTTTTTTTTTACTTTACATGAAAAAAAAAAAAAAAAAAAATCAAGTATTTATTTCTTGCGCATTTGAAATATTTTCCTCATGGCAATTTGTTGTA